CACTGAGGTGATGGTACAGCACACTGAGGTGATGGTACAGCACACTGAGGTGATGGTACAGCACTGAGGTGATGGTACAGCACACTGAGGTGATGGTACAGCACTGAGGTGATGGTACAGCACTGAGGTGATGGTACAGCACACTGAGGTGATGGTACAGCACACTGAGGTGATGGTACAGCACTGAGGTGATGGTACAGCACACTGAGGTGATGTTAGGCATCAAACGGAACCCAGTAAGAGGATTACAGTATATCCAAAACTTTATCACAAATATTGGTTTAAAGGCAGAAAAAAAGTAACAGGGGCAACTGGTTATCTTCACCGTCCCATATTATTACACTCGTTACTTCATTGTAAATGACAGCAGTGCAGCGACACTAAAAATTACATGAAAACTAATATAAAAATAAATGTTGCAAGCAATTGACTCACATTACACAACATGGAAGAGTGATCTAGCACTGCAGAAGCAACCCATAAAACAATCTCAACACGCATGGTCAGTATGAGTTAGGTTAGTACCTGATGGCTCTGGGATTATCAGGAGCAAGCATGAGGGCGCGTACATAGAAGAGGTCTGCTCGCACCAGGTCACCCTCCTGCCGCTCCAGGTGCTCCCCCAGCGCCAGCAGCGCCTGTAACACAGCAGCCTTCAGCAAGGTGGTACCTTGTGCATTAACACAAGGTACCTCAAGATGTACCTTGTGCAGTAGACTTGTGGCACAGTATATGGAGACTTGTGGGCACAGTATATGGAGACTTGTGGGCACAGTATATGGAGACTTGTGGGCACAGTATATGGAGACTTGTGGGCACAGTATATGGAGACTTGTGGCACAGTATATGGAGACTTGTAAGTTGTGGCACAGTATATGGAGACTTGTGGCACAGTATATGGAGACTTGTGGCACAGTATATGGAGACTTGTGGCACAGTATATGGAGACTTGTGGGCACAGTATATGGAGACTTGGGGGCTGAGTATATGGAGACTTGTGGCACAGTATATAGAGAACAGGACCTTCAAACATCAGCATAATTACTTGAGAATTGAATTATTCAGAATTTATTACAAAATTTGAGGCTACAAATAGCACATGTCAATTTTCAGCATATTGGCCTCTACTGAATAGAATTGCTCGTAATGAAAATATTGATTTTGCATAATATTTGCTTTAAAAATTGTCTTTAAAATAACAAATACATTCATACTGAAATAATCTGCCATTTTTCTTGTCCTCTGATCATCATCAATCTTTTTAATAACTCCCTTCTTTCAAGTGATGTTCATTCTATTTGTCAGAGCACATTACAATGAAATCCATTCTGAATATTATCTATTGGTATCTATCTATAATATATCTATATATCATCTATCTGGTGTTAGGTATATTTACTGACAATTGAATGTGATACTGGAAGACCGTATACAGACCATACCATAGGAAGGTGTCTCAGGCATAATAATAATAATATGAACTAATCCTGCCTGAGAATGAAACCAAAAAGCTATTTGAATGATTTATAATCCCACTAACATAAGAATAATAATAATGCTAATGATAATAGCAATTTTGGCATTCATTAGGTCATAGGCTTGCCACCAATTTTCAATATTCACAGCTTGTTGCAGTCTCAAACATGCAACCCACTGCTCCAATTTTTCTTGGCTTAACTTCAAGCATCAGATGATGCTATCAGCAAATAGCATTTTATTTATTTAGCATCAGATGATGCTAAAGATGCAGCAAATAATTCAATTCGGTAATAGGTTTGAATAAGAGCTCTTGAATGTTTCAAACTAACAAGCAACCACTTTCCCTTAGCCATGTTAAATCTTCATCACACAAACTTTATTGACCTCCAGTGCAACTATGAGTTGCCTGTCATGACCTGACCTGAGGTAAGGTAGGTGCCAGAGCCACAGCCCTCTCCAGCAACTTGCCGGCCTTCTCATAGCGCCCCACTTGAATGAGCCGCTCACTGGCCCGTATGCAACTCTCTGCTTCATTCAAGTCATCTGAAATTAAATTTGACTCAGTAGCCTGAAATTTGACTTGTTTAAAATAAAATTTCAAGCCATACAAAAATTTAAATTCATTTAATATAAACTTTTAGACATACAGAAATTTAAAATTCAATCTAAAAAGAAAGAACTCAAAAACAAATACCATGACAAATGCAAGAAACTGAAAGAAAAAAACTCAATAAGAAATTGTTACCGCTTACTTTTCTGCTCAAGATCAGAAGACTCTTTCTTGGCCAGAGCTCTGTTGAGCTCAGGAGGCTCTCGGGTCACCAGACTTTGATAATCTTCATCAAGCAGGAAGTTAAAATGTTTAGGAAAGCTGCTAACTTCCTTGTTGAAATTAATATCAAATATACTGAGACTGCTGGACAATCCCCCTAGGTAATTTTTCAGCAATAAAAGCATAAGCCCACTGATGAGCTCTGCTGTAAATATCAAAATAAATGTTTGCCAATTCATTTTGTAATAATAAAATGCAATTATCTTTGCAACCTCCCATCACTGTTGAATTGTAAGGCATATAAAATTAGTTTAAGGAATAGGTATATTGCTGAAATTGTGCTAGATTCAATACAAATAAATGAGAAGCTAGAATTTCTGCTTAGAAAGTTTCCAGTAGTATCTTGTTACAAATTACTACAAACATAATCATGAGAGAAAGGTGTTCAATTTTATACTTAGAACAACATACATTTATAAGGATCCATGCTGCAAGGCTATTATTATTATATTTTAAAATAAATACTTATAGATTCCATGCTGCAAAGTTAAGTTTCAGTACCGTCAACTGGGGCTACTCGGGACAGTTTTGAGCGTTTTTTGTTAATAACTTCTTACCATGAAACATTTCATAAACAAGTTTAGGCTCATTTTATAGCTCTTTGCAAGGGCTATCAAATGGCGTCTTCAAAAAAATTCCATATGCTATTCGTAAGGTGCCAGAAGCAAAAAAAAGAGTGTCCCTAGTAGCTCCGTCGAACGGAGCTACTCGGGAAACTTGGAATAAAACTTCATTTTAAAACATTTGAAGCATGCAGAGTGTACTCAACCATTACTAACAGTACTCTGAAGTCCTCCTCTTTCATTGTAGATGATGTAGAGGTAGAATAAATGATATTTTCTGTGATTTTTACTCGTTTTTCCTTTATGGATATGATATTACCATATACATTGATTACTGTACCATAAAATGAGGTAACTTTGACCACTTTTTTTTCATAATGATGCCATTTTTTTACTAGATAAGTTAAACTTAAATTGAAACATGCAAAATACAGGTCTATACTCTAGCTTTACTCACCATAAATTGCTGGCTCCTGCCTTTCATAGTTTTGATGTAATTTCAAAAAAAGTGATGGTCTTTGTTACCCCAGCTCTTGGGGTTTCTTTGACCAGGTGGTAAAATCAATGTTATTTTTTGGTAAAATAACTTCAAATAACTCCAGGTTGTGGTGCATTGTAGTAGAACTCTTCTAGTTACATATGCAAAAGACAAATTTTAGGAAATTGTCATAGTTTGCAAATGGGGGGCAATGGGCGAAATGTGACCACCTAATGGCAGCTGTGATGGGGTAACATTGACCGGTTTGGAAATTAAGTTAAAATTACCATATATAAGACTCTGTAGAGTCTGAAACATAAAGAAAAAAACATTAATAGGTGTATCAAACATAAAATACGTTATATAGGTACCTATGGTAATTTTAACGTAATTTCCAAACCGGTCAATGTTACCCCGTCATGGCTGCCATTAGGTGGTCAAAGTTGCCCCATTGGGGGGCGGAGCCTCCCATTTGCAAACTACCTATGACACTTTCCTAAAATTTGTCTTTTGCATATGTAACTAGAAGAGTTCTACTACAATGCATCAAAACCTGGAGTTCTTTTACCAAAAAATAAAAAAATTGGAGGGGGTACTCCGTCAGGCTTTAAATAATAGCTCTTTTTTGTGGGTCACATTATTAATTTTTCAACCTATTAGATATGCAAACTTTTTAAATCTTTTTATTGTGTTACGACCCCTCAGTATTAGGCCTTTGATGGCCATTGACAAAATTTTTCTATGTCAAATCGTTTTTGAGTTTTGGGGGTTTTTGTTGAAAAAATGAAAAGTGGTCAAAGTTACCCCGCCGGTCAAAGTAACCCCATTTTACGGTATTATTGATGCGATATTACCGCATCCATGAACATGCCATATAGCATTTACAACAACTTTGTCCACTGCAAGCTTCATATCAGCAGCCTTATAGCATTTTTTCTGTATCTGTAAGCTTACAGGACAGCTTGTAATTTCACACTATTTTAATTGGGTTAAGTGAATTTACTATAAAAAAAGATTGTGAAAAAACATACTGAAACAGAAAGGAATGTTTTAGTGACAACCATCAAATGTTTTGCAGAAATAAATCATAGTTTAGCTCAATTACTTTTCATTCTATGATGCCTGGTGCACAATTCTATATATGACATTCTATGCACAATTTTGTGATGACCGATGATGCACTAATTTTTCAACAAGTGAAATTTTTTTTGCCAAGCGAGGTAAATGTAATCAATATTCTTTGTTTTTAATCAATTTTTTTCTTAACTGGAGCCTTTGCTTACCGAGGTTCTACTGTAAATGCGTTTTTGGAAGTGTCCCAAATAGCCCCAGGGGGGTGTCCCGAGTAGCCCCGCCGTGCGGAAATGGCTGCCATTTTTTTTTTGGATTGAGGTATGTAAATTCTGCAAATAATGTTTTCAAGCTGACACCTGGGTGCAACTTTTATGTAAGTAAAATTTTTTAATATGACAAATATTTTTTTTACTACAGACCTTAGCAGAAGTAACTTTTCAAAATAGGGTTTTGCACCATTTTTTCAGGAATTATTCAGCGCTAGTAAATGTAGTATTTTTTGACTTCCTTTATACTACATAGATAGGAAAAATGTTGATGTTTATGCCACTATATTTAGTTTTGGGCAATATTCCAATTAGTTTTGCTACTAAACAGTTTTACGCCATGTTGGAGGACTGTCCCGAGTTACCCCGCCAGTCCCGAGTAGCCCCGGTTGATGGTACAGTATGAAAGATGCTGAACCTCAACAGTCCAAAGACCATCAGCTAGAATCAACAAGATATATATCATGAATGTATATTGTAAAGTGAAGTAGATTGTTAATATAGTAGATCGTTTATACCTAAGGCTGCGGACAGACTAAAAGCGTTGATGCTGACGCTTCAAGTAGAGCGGTGCTGCGCCGCGCTTAGAGTGGTCACAGTGGAAGCTGAACCACCGCGCCGCTGAGTGCGGACGGCGAGCAGTGTTATGCAAGATGGCTGCGAGTGAGGAAGTGTTGTTGCTCGAGTCCTCATATGCAAAATATTTACTTTTTGAAAAAGATAAAATCGGCATTCACCCTATCAACAGCGCCAGATCGGAGTATGGAGAATACCATCATCTGTTCTCTGATCTGCATTATAGCCCAGAAAAATTCAAAGAATACACAAGAATGACAGTCTCTACATTCAAGGAGCTCCTTAGTTTGGTGGAGAACGAAGTGTATAAACAAAGTACGAATTTCAGGCCCTCCATCTCTCCAGAGGAAAGGCTCGTCATGACAATAAGGTAACAGAAAAATTATTGTTTGTTTACTTCATTTTTATTAGCATTACTGCATATAATATAATGTAACTTCGAACAAAAAATTCCTTTATAATTAGGGTAAAGTGGGTGCTCCTTTTGTTACTCATAATTGGGATGATGTGAAAACTACAATGTTTCATTTTATATTCAATAATGTTTACCCTCATTTTACCCTATTTAATCCTTTGAAATTATTCGCTTTCATTTTCTTCATTAAGAAAACTGTACACCAATTCTTGAACTTTAATTTTGAATAGACACTGTTTTTTCTTCGTCATGCTCTGAATAGAGGGTATCACGCTTTGAAAAAAAAAGACTACAGTCATCAGGTACACTTTTTCCTTTTAGGTATTCAAGCTTTTCTTTTTCTAATTGAATGAAAGTCTCCCTAAAGTCATTCTGAATTTTCCTCTTTTTCTTGGGAGCTTCCTTCGGGAGCTCTTGAACATTTCTCCACATTACATCCGTTTCAGCAATAACAGTGTTGCACAACATGATTCTTGTTAGAGAGCAATCTGATATGGACTCGGCATTGACATCAATGGAATTGAACGCATCAACTGAACAAGAGGAAAACATAACTGCTCCTGTCAACAGAAACAGCTCAAGATTTGCAACAAATGTCAGGATAAAATTTACAAATTATTTCATTTCCGATGTCGGAAAAGTTGCTTGGCAAAATCATATGCTGTAAATAAACAACAAGTTCATTTACATCTATTTCTTTGTCCAATAAAAGAAGTTAAACTGAATGCATTTTTACTTCTCATTAAACTCTTTCACAATTCTGTTTCAAACTATTAATGATCACCGAACTCGTGCATGAGCTTAATGAATGATTTTGGAATTGCTACTATTGTAAAGGATAGGCGATATTACCGGAACAAGCTAATCAATCAAATGACGGCTTCTCCTAAATTCAACTCAGAAAGTGTTTCAAAGTACGAGTTTAACACAGAAATCTTACCTGAAATATTTAGTGCATTAGCTATCAAACACCACTGTTTGCTTATGTATATCCTGTCGCTGTGCTGTGGGTGAGATGTGTTCCATATGGCCGGGACCGCTTGAATTGAGGAGAGCAATAACTCGACATCCATACTTCACGGCTGCTACTCGCGGCGTGTTGCGCACTGCGATATTACTCAGGAGTAATATGGTTTTTCCACCGCTTTGCTCAGCGCGCGACTGCTTTACGCAGCTTTTGGAGGTGAGCCTCTAGTTTGGCCACTCTGGTAGAAGTACATGCAGTTAATATCGCAGCGTCAGCGAGCGTCGGCCCGCGTCAACGCTTTTAGTCTGTCCGCAGCCTAAGGCTAGCACTGACTAAAACTAAAGTGCTGTGGCAATGTTAATAGTTTAACTGGCATCTTAAGTGGAAAATTGGGCATAAGCCAGCCTTGTGGCCTGTGCCGTGACTAGGCAAAAACAAAAGTGAATCTGGCCAATTTCAGCCACTTCAATGGCCTTTATCCAAATTCTTCAGTAGAAAATGAGAAAAATGGCCCATTTCTTTCTGCAAATTTTGATAGAAAGCTGTGAACTGGTCAATTTTACCTGGCATTTTAGGAATCTTCTGCCCAACATTCCAAATCAGGCTAGGATTGATGCTTTTGATTGTAGCTGGTAATTTGGTAGTGTCAAACAGGGTAATAAGGGACAATTTTGAGCGTTTTTTGTTAATAACTTCTTACCACAAAATATTCCACAAAAGAATCTGAGCTCATTTTAAATGTCTTTGCAAGGGCTATTGTACCTGTACGGCAACTCCAAAAAAATTCCATATGCTATTTTTGAGGTGCCAGATGCAAAAGAAAAGCATCCTGTTTACTCCTGAGAAATGGAGAATAGGGTAATTCTGGACACTTGAAATA